CAATTGCTGTCAATTAAGAAATACACCATTTGCTTAAAGGTATCCATTTTAGGGTTCTACATATGGTTTCATTTTTGTGTTTTCTGATCGAAGATCAGGAAATACAAAGCTAACATTCAATCTCTGACACAGCGGTTTCACAACAAACCTAACAACAAGAAGTTCTTAAAACAGCTTAAAACTAGCGATTTAAAAGAAAGAAATATTTTTATTTTGTTACAAGTATCCAACAAATTACAACGCATTCAAAGTTTAAAAGTAGCTTTGGGTTATAGAATTGTCAATAAATGCACGTTCACAAATTACGCGGATGAATATGATTTTAATCAATGGAAACGCTATTTTTAGCGATGTCGATCAAAGCGTATTTCACAAATAAATCTGACTGTCGAGTAGTGGAATATATACATGTCGAACTGTTTTGGCGAGAAGATTTTTGCTAAATTATTTAAACAACAGGTTTATCGTGAACAAAATACCACGAAATTAATAAGGATTACAAACCCGAAGTGCAATGGAAATTCTAAATTTAGTATTACTTGATTTAATTCAGGCTTTTCCGTATAACTTCTCCGCGTTGCAGGGGTAACGCGCTCGTCTAGTGTGTCAGAGGTCTGGGGTTCAAATCCCATTCAAGGCAACTAATTTTTTTTAGTTTCTTTGTTAAGGAAGTAGCCACGATATGCAAGGATAAAGTATGGCTGTCATAAAAATGAACATAAATGATTTTTTTGATGCAACTCTAGTCATGCTAGATTCCGTATGTATCAAACTCTGGTGCCCTGCACGAAGAATTATAGTACATAAAAATAAACTTATACAGGAAAATAATACAGATATACAGTGCGATTTAGATAGCAAAGATCAGAAATACCACAGAGATTGCAGCCCTTCGATTAGATAAAAGAGGCTAGTAAAGCTAGTAAATAATTTAGCAAAAATCTTCTCCTGACGTGATTTAGAAAACCAATGCTTTAAAAGAGTTACGAAATATGTTTCAATTTTGCGCGCATTGTTGTAGAATAATACACGGTTCGAATTCAATGCGCAGGAATATTATAATTGGAAATATCGGCGTTCGTGATTAATTGCCTTAATTTAACAATAAACTGTGCATTATTATAGTGCAATTCAAGAAAAAAAAATATCTATTTCCATTCTAACATGCGATTTGATAAACCTGATAATATATGTTGAATTACATAGAGCATACAAGTAACATTCCTGACGTCATTTAGAGTACTTAGAGAAGTACAATCTGCCACGAAGATAATCACTGTGAGGGCTTTGCTAATTCATCTGTTCACACCGATTTCTTTACGATAATGAAAATCGTCGTAAAAAGCGATATTTTTCTATTTTGTGATCATGATTTCTGCAAGAGTCTGGAGCGTTCTACTCCAACACTGTAGTGAGTTAATTACTGCACTCGACTGTCCTATCTCTTTACCATCGGAATAATGTTCAGTGTGTTATAATAATACTATGTCTTTAAAAGTCAATTTTGCGTAATGTTTGAATGTTCTCATTATTAATATCATGATATTATAATACTGTAACGATAATGTTAAGATATGCTTTAAAGGTTATAAACGCTTTCAAGTTAATATATCTAACGGAAAATAAATCAAAACAGAACACAAAGAACGATTGAAATGTATGATATGAAATTTCTCCTTTTGAGAATTATATACATGTATAAGGCCAGTTGTCACGACAAAACCAACATAATGGGTTAGCGACCAGCATGGATTAAGACCAGCCTGCGCATCCGCGCAGTCTGATCAGGATCCATGCTGTTCGCTTACAAACTCTATAACAAGTAGAGAAACTGATAGCCAACAGCATGGATCCTGATCAGACTGCGCGGATGCGCAGGCTGGTCTGGATCCATGCTGGTCGCAAACCCATTATGTTGGTTTTGTCATGACACGGCTCATATAACGTTTCTAGCCACTTTCAGCACGAAATCACAAAATTCACAATTACATTTCTTACAATAACTTCTTTTTCGTCAATTTTTTATGGTTTTATATCATAAATATGATGCTCAACCATTAAGATTTATCAATATTGTTAGTTCCAAAAAGCATTACATGTGTATTATATAGATATTTTAGAATTTAACATTTCATATTAATAAAGGGTGGTAATTAGAAATCTATGTTCTATAAAGTCTAAGTCAAATTTTCCAATAAGAAATGAATGCATATACATACAATATGGACACATATTTGCAGTACATATTTTACATATTCTTCCATGTTTGAAAATTGTTTTAGAAGCATATAATTATATACATATATAATATATCACTTAAGTGTGGTAACAACCTTAATTACATCATACAGGAACTTTAAACAAATCAAAATGAATATAACTTGATGTACAAAATTAAATTCAGAACGAAAATATGCGGAAAACTTATAATCTCGCAAATCAAACTGGTCTTATAGTAATAATATGGTTCAGTTAACACAAACCGTATGGACTTTGTCCAAAGTCGGTCAGTTTACTTAACGAGAAGGTTTAATCGTTTATGTAATGTCGAATTTATAATATGAGCCGCGTCACGACAAAACCAACGTAGTGCGTTTGCGACCAGCATGGATCCAGACCAGCCTGCGCATCCGCGCAGTCTGATCAGGATCCATGCTGTTCGCTTACAAACCCTATAACAAGTAGAGAAACTGATAGCCAACAGCATGGATCCTGATCAGACTGCGCGGATGCGTAGGCTGGTCTGGATCCATGCTGGTCGCAAACCCATTATGTTGGTTTTGTCGTGACGCGGCTCATATCTCTTAAAACGTTTTTCCTTTCTATAAACATTCAACACAGTGGCGGTGAAGTTATAATGCTTTCTATTGTAGTCATTCGGTCAAGTTTATTTTAGTAATTTGAATAATCTAAATTCAATTTAGAGCCCTAGAACGCTTTTATTAAAATAATCTTTGATTCAGATTTTAAGTTTTTTTCGTGAATAAATGATAAAATTTAAAGCTATTGAAATTTTAAATAACAGAAAATTGCATGTATTTTTTTCTTTATTTTAGCTATTTTTCTACAAAATTCAACTATAAGATAAACTTGATATTCAATAATAATTAGAAAATAATGAAATAAGCATAACTATAAAGGAATAATTAAGTGGTAGCAATATTTTACTATAAAATACCATCATGGACCTTTAAACACAAACACCATTGTGGGCCTTTAAAACTGACTTATTTTATTCTACATCTTAAAGATTTCAATTTTTCAAGGATAAATCACCACGAGTAGTTATTCATTTTATGTAGTTCTCTGGTTTTTAAAACCAACAAATTTAAGAGGGTATACGGCAAATAATTGTAGAGTGGCTTTATCTATCATTAAATTGTGATTTTAATTACGTGTCATTCCGACATGACAAAACAAAATTTATGTACCGCATTCATTCCTTATGCACTGAATATAATTGAAAAAAAACGGATTTAGGAAGACAAAATCCTTTAAATTTACAAAAATCTACTTGAAAGACTAGGACAATTCTTTGTCATTCTATCGTATACTTTGTATGATTTTAATTTTTTTTTTGAAAGCGATATATTGATAGCAAGAAATTTTTGTCAATTGCCACCTAGAAGGGGGTAAATGCTACAGAATAAGTTGTAAACTGCGGGTCTTATTTGAACTAGGTCGTTATTCGTTGAAAAATGCCTACTGCATACTTTCTTAATTGACTCTAATAGGTTTATTCTAAATATCGAACAAAACAATGTAACAACAGAGATATGTTTATCAGGCATCTTAGATTTAATCGGCGTCTCTGAATGAATTTTTAATTTGAGTTAACAACTTTTTCTTCGACAATGCCGTTAAGTAGTCTAAATTGATTATGACCTTCACTCACTTTGACCTTTAAAATTAAATAAATGACTTTTGCTTGATTTTTGCTTTGCCTATAAAATAATTATTTATGAATGAATTGTCTTTTTACTTGAGCACCACTACCTAAACGACAATGGCTTAATCCCTTTGTGGCCTAGGTCAAAATAACACTTATGACAAAACCCTGATGAATAATTAAAATAAGACCTTGACCTATATTACCCATATCATCAATGTCGAATATTGAAATTTGCTAAAATTTCAAAGTTTTGTAATTTATGTACAGATTTGATTCAAACTTAGACAAAAGGATACAGATGACAAAACCGACATGTTGAATAATTGTGATATTACCTTGACCGCCAAGGTCAAATTATTGAAATTTGCTTAAATGTCAAAACTCATTTACTTACAGATTTGAAAATTAATTTACTCTTTATTATAATATGCTTTTATGATGTGTTTTGAGTTTATAAATAAGGAAATGACGAGTGTACCCCAGTGGTTCTTTTTTTTATCTGCTGCTGTTGCGTATGTATTCATTTTGCATTTAGATAAATTGATAAATTAAGTATAAGTAAATTTAATCTAGTGCTTTGCATCTTGAAACAAAGAATTTGTACGATATTTCTTTTGTAGAAATGGTTTAGTAAAATAATATCATTAAAATAAAATAAAAAATAACAGAGTTCTATTACTGATTCGTCTCTCTAACACAGAGAGAGTTTATTTAACCACTATTGAGTCGAGTGAACTAAGCATTAATGGTGTCAATCGTGAACCCTATAAAGCTTGAACCCACAATCTTTGGGTTGAGGGGCAGACACCTGAACCACTAAGCCACCGATCGTCATAGACATTACTATTGACAAATAAAGTAAATTACAATGTAGCAACTTAAACGTAAATTTTGAAACATAGTTTTACTGTTTAACCATAATATTGAAATTGTCACAAAGGTACTTCCATTAATATATTATTTGTCACCAAAATTGTACACTACACATCTATAATATAATTCATTAGTTAATTAAGAACATTTAATTTGCCAACTGGAGACTACTAGTATTGTGGGAATGAAATCTATATGACTTACTACGTATATTTTTCTTTCAAAACTATTTCAGATTATTCTAACTTTTGATGTCAAGGTCACTGTTGGCGTTACCATGGATACACTTCATTCTATGTGTATCCATGGTAACTTGTAATTTCTATGGTGAGAATTACTATAATGATCGCTATGGAGCACAAGGAATTGCATATACCTCGGGTATGTATTAAACTAAAGTGTTTTTTTTTTCTTTATATATCAAATTAAAATCCAGGTATGTATAAAATATTGATTATATTTAAAGTTTGTTTTTTTATTTAATAACTCAATAAAATCCTTTACATTCATAATGCTTTATATGAATACATACGACTCCTGTATGTGTATAGAGAACAGTAGTTTTTGTATTTCATAAAAGTTCAATACGTTTATAATTATTTATACATGTATTTTATATATTACTGAAAAAAATAGTATGATTTATATTAATTTATACATGTATTATATATATAATTGAAACAGAAACAAACACGGATTTATTTACTAAGTATTTTCTATGTACATGGTATAGACTTATCTAACCTTATGACTGTCTCCTTTATTTGTCATATACATGCAATTATTAAAATGTTTTGTATATGAACATATAAGCCGCGTCACGGCAAAACCAACATAGCGCGTTTGCAACCAGCATGGATCCAGACCAGCCTGCTCATCCGCGCAGTCTGATCAGGATCAAGATCCATCAGTTTTGCTATCAGTTTCTTTACTTGTAAACGTGTAGGTAAGCGAACAGCATGGATCCTGATCAGACTGGGCGGATGCGCAGGCTGGTCTGGATCCATGCTGGTCGCTAACGCATTATGTTGGTTTTGTCATGACGTGGCTCATATGTACTGTACGAGATTGTTATTAGTTTTAAAGATTTTAGACAGGTAAAATGACCATATATAAACTGTTTTTTACATATACAACCCGTTACAGACGTGCAGTATTATAGACGCTGTTATAAAGCCCTTATGGGCTTATCAGCCATATTTGATGTTAATGGTATTTATATATATTGACCGTATGATTGTGTAATTCTATCTGTATTGTGTTATCTTTTATCAATATAAGGCTATATATCTGCAAGTTGTAACGATCACAAACTTTTAAATTCTGTATGACCATATAACAATTGTGTGTGATTTTAAATTCCAGTTGATATAGATTTATTTATTATGCCGGAATAATTCTGTTGAAAATTAGGGCATCTTTGAAAAGTAAGAAATATAAGAAAAGAAACATGTTTCAATCTCGACCAAAAACATTTATTTCCAAATACATGTAGTTACAAGTGCTGACCTTGAGTGAAGGTTATGACAATTTTGCTCATTTTTTAAGAAAGATATTCCTGTTATACAAATAACAGTGTTTGTCATTTAATCAATATTAACAGCGAAATGTCGGTCAAGGGCCACTTTTATATTAAAGGATTAGTATCAGATGTTTTCATTATTACTTATAATTATTTTACATTAAATTAAACCAATATATATCCGCATCATTAACAGATGACCGATCTAATGGACTGTGGTCGGACATGGGAAGTCTTCAAAGTAACTATCTTCTTGCCGACAGCCTCTGGTCTGGTGACGCATGCTCGGGTTGCACGTGCAATGGTGACGTCATCGATTCCTGCACGGGCTCAGTAGTGTACGTATATAATTTGACGCTATAAAATCATGCTGCAATTTGCTAATGACTAAAAAGTAAGAATAAAAAGTACAATGAATTTACACATATAAACTTTATTGGGGAAAGTTAAAATATGCTGAATAAAATATGCTTAATATAATGAATTGAAAGATAATTATTATAACAGTTATTGTTATATTTTACTTGAGACTTTTGACTTTTTGGCCCATACTTTTTGCACCAATACATTGTCCAACATGCATGGTCCTATACCAAATTATTATGGAATGGACCCAAAAGTACCGATTTATATGATATTATTAGCTAATGTACAAAATTGTATATTAGTGAAGCCCTTACATTAAAAAGGTCTCTTTAAGAAATATGCTGATACCATTTGTGTAGTGGAGAAATATGGAAACCGAAATCACTGGTTTCATCTAATAAACACTATCTCATAATGTCTGGAAAGATTTTGTCCAACCCAAATTAAATTTGCATTTTTATATGTGGTTTTTGCTGAAAAATATGCTGTTACTACTCTTATTGTACCTTTTTTATATATATTTGATTATTTTCAGAACGTTACGGGGTCAATCAATGGTTAATATAACAGCCGGGACGTTTAGTAAGGACACGACGAGCATGTAAGTGTTTGTTTAAAGTCACATTGTGCTCATATTTTCATTGTCAAGTTGAGTTAAAGTTATAACAAATTTCAAGAGATTGACTTTTATAACGGCGATTGACCAAGAGTTGATACTGGATATTGTTAAATCTGTCTAAAGTTTTAAAAGACCGCACCACTCTTTTTATTTTTTTTTATAGATTGAAAAAGTTACAGGTAAATTCTATTTTTATTTTTTTGATATCTTTAGGCCGCTATTCCATTTATACGTGATCAGTGGTCCGCGTCAGTGATCCGCGTCCGGGCATGTCCGTGGGTATTATTCCATATATAGGTACGTTATTTTCTATATACTTTTAATTGAAGTATAGCGAACAGAGGATAATTATTTGTAGAATATGATATAATTTCATTCTAATACCAAAAACAGTTGTAACATCAAAGAATTAGGTAACAAACATTGAATATCAGTTAGGTTTTCAAATAACATCTCTTTACCAACCGATGACCAGATGTTTTTTTTTAATCTGTCATTGCTGCATCATAAACTTATATGTTCTCCTACACTATTTTGGTGACTTCTTTAGTATTTTCTTTCGAAATCGATAAAGTATTTAATTTCGTTCGAGGCATTTTGTAGGGATGAGACATGTCAGTGACTGTCCGCGTCCGTAAAAAATCGCTCATCCTGCGAAACGTCGCGGATGCCGTCGCGGAAGCGGATGGTAAACGGACAAAAGGAATAGATTCAACGTATTCTTTGATTAGCGAATCGGTAACGGATGCGGATGACGGACGCGGACCACTGATCACGTATAAATGGAATAGCGGCCTTAGACATTTCCTTGCGCCACTTGAGTTATTTATCGTCCGTGTAAAGTAAATTGTAAAATACAAAATGTATAGACAAATAATAGCAGTCCGCTCAAAGTATACCCTTGGACGGGCATAATGTCTCTTTTAAAAACATTACAGCCTTTTATTTTTTTTTAAAATGTAGGTCATAATTATAAAAGATACTTTTCTAAACGTATTTACTAAATATAGCTGGTTTATCATATTGATAATATTATTTTAAACCACTAAATAAATTGCTTTTGATTGATAAAATAAGATTAACTGCTTTATTTTCAGAACTATAATAAATTGTCCAAATTTTGAACTTTTTGAAAACGCAACGTTCGAAAATCTTACAAGTCTACAGGAAATGTAAGTACAATTTATAAAATAGAAAAACATGCACCCTTAAATAATCTTAGATATATCATGCAATATTTCTAGCAAGTTTGCACGAAAATAAATAAATAAAAAAGGAACAAGGTTCTTTTGGATTTTTTATATTTAAACATTTAGAAGATTTGAAAATTAAGAAAAGAAAGAATTGATTTTTTTTTTGGTTTTGTTTGTTTGCTTGTTTGTTGATGTTGTTTAGAAATGATGTTGAAATTGCACCACACAGTTTATATAAAATGTTATGCATTACCCTGTCCATTATTATAAGTCTTTTCAACATAGCTATTCATATAATCCACTTTACTTAAGGGCAATAGTGTATTTATTTTGTACATTTGTATTTCAATGTAAAGTATGCTATATACGAATAAAATTATGTTTCATTGTCTTTGAAGTTTATTCAGTATGAAATAATTCCGTGTATTTCAGTATAGTTCAAGGAACGGCTTTGAATCATGTACCGGATCTGTCCACCACTGTTGTCACAAAAGTGTAAGTAGGCGTAGCTTAACCTGTTTTTGGTTTATATTGCTTTAATAATGTATGTAAATGAGGGGACTCCATTCGCTCTTTCAGGCACCAGACGATATACAATTTACTTTTGCTAAATGTTTGCTATTTAGAATAAACAACCTTTGAAAAAGAAAAAAAATACAAATGTAGTCCAAAACTTAAATCTGAGCTTGTCCATGGTTTATAGATTTATACATACATGTATATTATTGTGTTTGTGATTATTAATTGTTTTTTTTTTGTTTCAATGAATGAAAATAGAAATTTGGCGGGAAATCAAATATCGTTGAGCACAGACAACCACCGTGGATGGAGATGGCCGACAACGATAGAATATTTGTAAGTATTTTATAAAATCTTGAAAGTCAGAATGCATATTATAATATATCAAATAAATAAGTAAAGCAAATTACATATCTTATGCGTTCAAGTGATTATAGTGCTACCATTAATCGCTCCAATTTGTTAATTATATGACATTGCCTTTTGGTTACTTTGAATTTTAACACACAAATGAGTTTTAAAAAATGCATTTTTAATCAATTTCTAGACTTATTTCATGATTTTGATGTGACGTGTATTATGTTGTGTTTCATTTACTTTTTGTCTTTCTTTTCAGGGCTATGATGGACAATTTACTGTATTGGCTTCCAGATAATTTTATAGATGGACCAAACCTTAGAATTGCGTACGTTAATAATAACATTGTCTCCATCTAACCTTCATCTAACTTTTATAAGAATTACATTTAGTAATATACTACTGGTTTAGTTTACCGTCGGCCAAACCATTTACTGCGAGTTAAACTGAAGTAAATTTTGTGGAAACCCTAGAATTGCCTATGTTAACAGTACAATCGTTTGTTTAATAAAACATTTAGTCAGGCAGTTACCATTTACTATATTTTATATTTTTGCTTTAACAAGAGTTCATTTGTTTTGATGATCATTTGATTTTTTTATCTCACCTTTTTAGACAAAACAAACTGTGACGTTAAACAAATCAGATTTTTTCTTTACCGTTTTATTTTACTCGCATGTTATTGTTGGAATCATTGTTGCTAGTATATAAATGGTATTTATGTCATTTTGGACTCAGTTTGATTTCCGTGCTATGTTTTACAGGAGTTTTGGTAACAATCAGTTACTGCAGATCCATCCAACAATATTTGGTGATACTTCTTCTCTTATTTACCTGTAAGTATTTTATTTTATTTGATAATTTAAACGTTTGAATAGGCTTTCTTGTGTAAAAAGGTCAGTTTTTAAACAACCAATCAACCAACCAACAAGTCAATGAACCAAACAACTAATCAAACAACCAATCAACAAGCAAGTCAGTCATCAAGCCAACCTAACAAAAATCAAAGAAACCATTCGAACAGTTATTTTGAAGGATTTAAAAGTCAGTTTGTTATTAATGTCTCAATGCCCCCGCAGTAATTCAGTTTAGGAAGGTAAATAATCGTGTGTGACATATTTATGCCGGTTACTGCTGCTGAAAAAAATCACAAATTAAGTAATAAGGTTGTCTTTTCATCGCAATCATTCATCATTGCTAAGAGTAATTGGTGGCCTAATAGTATTGTAGTTATCTTCCATGCCATGTCTGATCTCATTTTCTTTTCATTTGCTATAAACATTGTAGTATTGTATTATTTGCAATAAAGTTATTTGTGCTGTATTGTACTGTGCTGTACTTTACTGTACTTCACTTTACTGTACTTCACATTACTGTACTGTATTGTATTGTATTGTATTGTATTGTATTGTATTTGTATTGTATTGTATTGTATTGTATTGTATTGTATTGTATTGTATTGTATTGTATAATAACAAATCGTAGTTGAAGTTGAAATCATCGCAGTAAATATTTATGTATAACAAATCATACATTTTTCTTTTTTAAACAACTCCATCTATATTTTACAGCGGAATGGATGGCAATAAAATAACCAGGCTCTCTAGAAACAGTATTGCGGCTTTAGCTACGAATAATTTCCAACATCTGTAAGTCAAAGATTTCATTTTGATAAAAAATTATGACGTCATATTCACAAACCATATTCTAATTTTATCAAATAAAATACAGATTCCAGCTTTGTGTCTTTGTTTGAAACCATACCTTTGATTCTTGATATCAAAGAGTTAATATTTAGCACTACATCACTTGTTTTGCTTTTCTTTCCTTCAATGATATTAGTATAAAAACAGTATGTTTAACGTGATTGAATGGTGATTTTATTTTCAGAAATATAAGTAACAACGAAATCGTGTTTATCCAAGCTGGAACCTTTGACCAATTACCAAACATAAAGATTCTGTAAGTAGACGTTTAGATATATTTTGTTTTAAAATATCAAATTTGAGAGTAAAGCTTAATAAATACTTTTTACACACGTTAGAGAACTGCACAAGGAACATTCTATAAAATATGAAAGACACGGGCCAAAAACTAAAGGTTGTGTGAGCAAAAGCGTGAAATCTAAGACACGAGTCAAGAACTAAAGGTTGTGCGGGAAAATGCGTAAAATCAACCAACATTTAGCACTGGTATTATTGACTTTCTGATCCTAACCATTATTTAATAAACAACTTCTTGCAATGGTATAATGTTGTTATTGACATTTGCAGCTGCCGTGGGATTATGTTTTATTTACATGCATATCAGTTTTTTAAAAAAAAAATCTTCTTTAACAAATTTTCATTTTACAAATTTTACTATTTTCATTTTACAATAAAAGATAAGATATGTTTGAACTATAAGCGATTCTTAAAGATATTTAATATTTGAAATATGTCCATTTCCTGTAATTTCAGCGAAGTACACAATAATCTATTACCAACCATCAATGTCAACATATTTTCCAACATGCCAGAGTTATTGCACTTGTAAGTATTTTTATCTATGATATAAAGTACATATGTTGTAAGAAAAATCTACGAAAATTGGAAAGTCCGCAGCCAGTACTGTATACTAGAATATATATTACATGTTAATATCATTAATTATGTATTATAAAAGTTAAGACAAATGTATCCTTATACTTATGTTAAGATTTAGTAAGTAGAGGATACTGAATGAGAGTAAGCTTGCATAATATAATTTTATTCAACTCGTTCAATAAATTCAGTAATGAACTTACACGAATATAATATTCTATTTACCACATAACCAACATAAGAACTGTTTACAAATAACCGCCTCCGTGGTCGAGGGGTTAGAGTTGATGACTTCTAATCCAGTTACCTCTCTGGTGTGGGTTCGATCCCCGGGAGATGCTTTGGTAGTTTAGCGGAGGAAGGAAGTCTGGTACTGGTGTAACTGTCCAGGAACGATGTATAGGAAACTACCCGCCTATATGACTGAAATACTGTTGGAAAAAGGCGTAAAATGGAACAAACAAACATCACAGTGAAAATAATCCCCATTTTTTTTATTGACGCACCCATAGTGTAACACTATCATTTATCAATTTTTACGCTATGTTTATATAACGCAAATGGCGTCACGTCAAAATATACGCACGACCGTGCAATACCGTTTTTACAGACTCGCCAAAGCGGCACGGGTATGTGATCGATGCTAATACCGATGTATCTATATATCATATTTCAAATACAATAATAACTTATTCAAATGCATCTTTTTATCATCTTTTAGGGATTTACACGCCAACGACATTTCTGCGTTACCGAGGCGGAGTTTCGAGAATCTACCGAAGCTGATGGAATTACGGCTTCACTCGCAGAAGACAAAAATGACGTCAATAGCCTATGACGCGTGGCGTAATATTGGTAATGAGCTCATCAACTTGTTTGTCAGTGAGAATAATTTACAGACGTACCCTCATCAAGTATTAGAGGAGGGTTATTACCCGAAATTAGAAAGAATGTAAGTTTCTTTCATAATACGATGTATAATGTAATGTTTTGTCCAACAAAAATAAAATGTATACGTCACTTCTTAAAGTGATTAGTGATTTCTAAAAAAAGAGCTTTTACAGTGTCTGTTTAATTTGTCGTTTGAATAATATCTGATAGCCATCGATACAGTTATAATTTTATATGTCATATTCATAATGACACTATGTTTCGATGCCAATTTATTTATTTTGTTTTTAAATCTAGTCCACTATAATTATGATTATAAGCGCGCTATTGTTTTTATAAACCAAATCTTAATAACTTGTTGAGCAGGTTTAATATGTGGTGAGGCAAATGTAAATAGTGGCCGTGTGCTTCATGTCAATGTTTTCTGGTCCTACGGGATCATAATTTAATTGTTGTTTTTTTCGTTGAGGATTGTATACCGGTTAACCCGGTGCTAGGGGGCGTGAAATATGTTGCAGTTTCCATTTCCTCTCATGAACAATCTTAATAAAATCGTGTCTATAATTTTCAAAAGTTTAGTTATTGTTTTGTTGCTCTATAGAGGGATTTCTCACTTCCAAAGCTTTGATATATAACTTGTGAGAAGCTATAACAAAGCTTTCATCTTCTTGAACAATTCCATAGTTCTTTTTTATTTAAGTATCATTTGTGCCCTTATTTTCAAAATAATTATTGAAAATGTTTTTATTTGTTCGTAGATACGCAGACAACAATGCAATATCAAATGTGACAGAGTATGGATCGGAGGCTTTCCCTTCCTCACAGAAATTCTTATACTCACAGAAACGACTTCAGTTTACACCATTTGCTGCTTACCCGGCATTACATACATTGTGAGTTATATTTTATTTACTTCCAGGACAATTGATGCTTGTGAAATTTTGGTACATGTTTGCATTACAATCAAAATAAGCGATACATTTATAGTACTGATCGTTTGTATCAAATAAAAGTTGAAACCCTTACCATTTCGTAATTTTATTATCAGCGTTTTTTAGCTTTACGCAAATGCACGCTTACGCCTCAACATGAAAATGGCGATACTGTTAATACACGAAAATACACCATTACAAAAAGATTATTTTTATCTCAGCATCTAAAGCAGAGGCTCTGAAAACAATACGTTATTTTTCTTCGATATAGTATATATAAAGATTTTCCTTTCTACTTTAGGAATTGACAAATTGCTTTTTCAGTTAAATTTTGATGATTTCAAATTATGGTAAAGTAAAAAATGTACATATGCTATAAATTTCATGAAGGAGAACTTAATATTCAGAAAGTGTTTTGAACATTTTTGTTGTCACATGTATAATAGTAATATTTTTTATTTATTTATGACAGATACCTTCATGGTAACTGGATCACACATATAGAGAACGATGACATGTGTAATATGACAAATCTACAGAATTTATGGTTAAATAGTAACCTACTTACTGAAGATAACATTGATGATGACGCATTTCAGTGTCTTCCGGTACTCGACTTCCTGTAAGATTATCACGTGACATCGCTTTCTTTAACTGTAAACTCTACATAGAGTTAATCCAGACAATAATAAAAAGCCTTTATGAAAGCAGATATTAATATGCAAAGTAGCTTATGACTAGTATCTGACAAAGCTTTGTTTCACTGAGTCGACTTGATAATGTTACAATACCTGATGAGCAAATAGCAATTAGTTGCGCCTGGCGATATTTTCCGGCCGCAACCCAATATTTAAAGACATTTAATGAAGTTGTTTACAAGAAAATATTTCAAAGCTACAATTTCAAGTCTGGATCAGTATTTATATCTTTTAATCATATTAATCTCTCTCTCTGATTTATGAAATTGTTCATGTTTTAAATTATATGTTTTGATTGATTACAATCACCATTTATCCATGATGTGTGATTGTAACAGGCGTCTACCATGCATTTCTAAGCTCCAGAAGGTAAGATGGTTTTGACCCCTGGTGTTGCTTTAAGTTTGTAACACCAGAGTTAAACCAAAATCATCTTTAATGTTTCAGCGTCATATGACCTAAATTGTGTTCGTGCGCCGTAAAACCAAACAACCAAAACATATTTTGAATTAATTAATATTTGTATTGAAGCTGACGCAAAGAGCTGTTTGCTTATTATATATTTCTCAGACAGTATGATGCATTTTTACTTATTGAATCACTAATTTATATTTATGTTAAAGAAGAACATATACGAGTACGAGTATCTTATAAACGTACCATATCTCTTTCAGGAATATAGGGAGTAATTTAATCCAGTATGTACCAAATGCTGTCAAGAGCAGTACAGTGCTACCTGCCCTCACACAATTATACATGCAGGCGAATCACCTCACTTTCCTAGAGACCGGGACATTTACCAACCTGACCACTTTACTGACTCTGTAAGTAAAACCAGACATTGTTTGTAGTAAGATTCATTTTACACTCGTTTGTAAATCAAGGCATTTAGTAATTTTCTCTACTTGAACACCCTCAACAGTACCAACAACAGTTCCTCTGTATTCTAGAAAAATTGTTCACGCTTTCTTTTTGTCCGGCTTTATTGAACTGTAAAGTTCTTCAGAATTTTTAAATTCACGTATCGTTTCTTTATTTTCCGTTTCTTGTTGTTCCGTTGAATTTATTTCTTTAAAAAGAATTAATCTTTCTAAAATACCATTTTCAGTATATACCAATGTTTTAGCTCTTCTCTTGCAAATGACGTTCTTTGTATCTGTAATATCTTGTCTATGTATGTTTATATATGAAATAATTTTACATTTATAATCGATTGGATAGGAAAGATTTCTGTTTCCTGTTTTTTCAATAACGTTTTGGGTACCCCCCAAAAATATGATAAATTTGTTTTCCATTTTAGAATTTTGACTTCAAATAAGATAATCGCCGTGGAGAATGAAGTGTTCAACCTGCAGATAGAAACTATGTAAGTATGACTGGCAACAAGTTTAATCTATTAACTTAGTTAACACTGTAACAATAATCATAGGTTCATTTACAAGAATGGTCTAAAAGGAATGATTTTTTTATCATTTTGTAAGACAAATTGAAAATGTATAAATTGGTAAGGTATTTTTATTATTTTCTTATTATCATATCATTATTTTATATAATAAGGATTTGTAATACTTTCTTCAACAGTAATGTTCTTATCATGATACTTTTCATTTCCATGATTTGTCACTTTTTTTCTTTTCTTTATTTTCAGAAAACTAGACAGCAACGAGTTTCGTTTTACTCATCAGTTTCCATTCAGTAACTTACAAAATCTCAGGGTGCTGTGGTTGAGCAGTAACGTCATCAATTACATTCCTCCATTAGCATTTACTAATTGTACATCCCTAACTGAAATGTATGTATTCAACCAAGTATTCTTTTAAGTAATCATTTCTTTTATTGTATTCTACGTATTATGAACATTAATGAAAAATATATTAATTATTATTGAGATTAATATAACTTCCCACTTTCAAATGTTAATATGAGAGCTTTCATTGCAATTCTAAAGTATGCCACATGTTTCTAAAAATAGACATATTCGCGGTTATTCAAAAATGATATACTGATATTGCATGATGATGAGGTGACTATTAAAGTTTACGGACCAAGCTAATGTGACAAAAACCGAGGTTAAAATCACATGAGCAAAGTCCATAGACTTGGATATTCACCGAAATCTTCATATTGCAAAGTTTATTATTTATCTAAAATTTAATTATTGTTTTATTAATTTGTTTAATGTTGTCTGATAATCCTTTCTTCACTAATCATTTCTTCACGCAAAAAAAACAACAACAACAAATACTTTAATAACCTACGACATACAAAAGTTGTTTTTGTGTGTTTTGGGCATCTGTATTGCTATCTCATGTTTGTAAATAGAATCATTAGAATGTAAAGTAAAATACCTTTCATCACTTTTATTTGACAAAAAGAATCCATGATTTACATCGCGTATTTAATGCAATGTGATTTTGATTGGTGATTAGTTCTATCAAAAGAGTAGGGGTAAATATCACCATTGACTGCCACGTGGCCGCGTCTCGACCACTCGCAACAAGTCATTTAATCATCATGGTAATTCTAATTTAGATGATTCTTTATGTCTTTTTACAAAATCAATATATTGAAAAACACAAAATTAATGTAATATGTTCAGACCTTCCATTGAATATTTTAAGATAATTATTATAAGGTAGCCAGCCAAAGTTAAACATCTATCGTAATATGTATTTCAGTCAAATGGCTTTCAACAATATACCACAGCTTCTCAAGTCACATTTTACGAATTGCCCACTGTCCGGAGATATATTGTTCAATGACAACGATATTGGTTACATCGAAGACGGAACATTTGATCACGTGACATCTATGACACGATTGTGAGTATTGCACATGATTGAAATGTCAGTAGTTGTATTTTCTGAACACTTAACCAGCTGAATTTCTTTAATGGTCTGGTCCAGTCTCCATTTATGGGACTGTCCATTGTCAATTTTAGGGATTTCGATATGGAAACGTTACAAACAGTATAGAGCCTGGTCAGACTTGCCTAGCTCTATACTGGTAGCAAAGTCTAATCACTTTCGGGCCCAGCTGGGTTCATGCTTGTACAGTACTTTTTTTAATTCTCTTACTAACATAAATTTCTTGTTATCTTTTGGTAACCGATGCATCATATATTGCAAAAGGTTTTAGACATATATCATTTTTATAAATTCGTTTTCAATTTTATTATTATGACTCTTTTTTAAGCACTGTCCTTACATTTGAATTAACAGTATCTTATTTATTGTACGACATACATTAAACGAATAGCAAATTACTATCTAACTTCTGACAACACGTATTATAATAACTTAATTTTAGCGTTTAATGATATTTTAATATTGCAACAAGATAAAAAAAATAAACCAAATTGTCGCGTGACTTAATTATTGCTGTCAATTAAAGCTGTAATGCACGATCGTGTATTTTGTCTAAAATATTAATATTTGACATTATCATATTTTAATTAAGACGAGATAAACGGTGGACGACATTGCATTAAAATTTGAATTTTCACTATAAAAGGTTTATAATTATGCTGTCATATCTTTAATGACATTATGAAACATGAAATAATGTATTTTTACATGTATGAGAGCTAAGATGAAATTTTAACATAATTTATGTATAAACATACCAGATTCAACTTGTCAAAGATATATATTGTTTGTATCAAAAATTAAGATTTTTTATTTAAACTTATTAAAACTTGTTAATTGGAATTCAAGTTCAAGCACTTAAATCGATCTGTGTATTTTCTAAATATGGTGACTGATTTACGCCATGTCCAACTTTGCCTCATATTTGTGTTTTGCATTTTAGCAAAATCGCGAATGGACGACAAAATATTGCAATAAAGAAGACATATAAAATTTGTTTCTCTTTTTTAAACTGCGTTATTCACCAAAATTAGTTTTTCCAGTGGACTATGCAAGTTTACTATTCAGTTAAACCATAATTTTGTGGAGTTAAGTGTATTACTATGAATACGATTAAATATTATATGTATCAATCCATTTTCATTCAAACTTAGCATTTTTGTAATCATATAAGGTCTTATTTGTTAAAACAATTATCGTCATGGCTAAAGAAAGTATCGGCTATATATGCCGATACTCGTTTATCTGCCAAGAGTATGGAATTGTTTGTGCCCTTCTATGTTTGCACACATGATAAAGTTAGTTTCGTATTTTTTGCAGAATGGGGAGCTGTTTTTATCTAAAAATGACTATTTTCTTTTTCACAGCACTGTAGCGAATAATGTACTGACAAAATTACCGAACGGTGGTGATTTTGCTGACCTTGTAATTATTGACGCCGGGGACACTCTTCAAGGAACCATGGACTTCACCAATAACCGGCTTGTCTACCTCGAGACACACACATTTGTTAATCTGGTTGTAGCTGATTATTTGTAAGTGCTGATTCCCGTGTCGGTTGTATAAGAGTTATCAGTCGGCAATTTTAACCTTTAACTTACTGAATTTCTTCAATTTGTTTGTCCAACTTCCATTTTTGGAACTGTCCATAATCGTTGTTGGGGATAGGTTTGACATGTTGAGTTAGTCAGTTCTCAGTATAGATACTGAGAAGAGGACACAGATGTGTAGTCTTGTCTGACTCTATAAAAAAGACAAAACTGCTAATAATAATCCTACATAATAAAATAAACTTTCACTGCCTTCACGATAGCTATGCGAACTTTACTCATAAGTCTATTGTATACATGTTTACATATTACCTATATATGGATTCTCACATATCCAACGAGATACGATTATGCTTTGTTCTGTAATTCTCTTGTTCATTATTGTTAAAAATGTTGACAGATATTAAATCTTATACAGACAACATTTCATGTTAAACTGCAAAAAAGAAAGAAAACATATATACAAATCATACTCCAGTATTATTTTCTTTTTGAAAAATGTATGAAAACTATCATTTTTTCAGGTCTCTCGCCAATAACAAAATAACAACAATCGCAACCGAAGCATTTAATGGACTTACAGCAAAATACCTTGACCTTCGGGGGAATAGCCTTAGAGAATTACACAAGAAATCTTTCACATCAGTCTCGTTGTCTGAGAGTATGTATATTAATGACATGTTCTTTGACAAAATCCCTACCATGGCTTTATATGATGTATCAGCTAGAAACATTGACATCAGTAATGGAGGAATAACAATGGTGGAGAATGAAGCCTTCTATAATGTTGTTGTCAGCGAAGACCTGTGAGTTTTGTCTTTTAAATATCAAATTTAACTTTTATTGTTACGTTAAACGAAACAAATATCGAAATTTACATACATTTCATTACGTTTTTGTTTTCAAATATAATTTAAATTTTGAGAAACAATTGGATAAAGCGCAGTTTACATGTTGTAATTTTGTGTTGAATTTGTCTAATTTAATTGTATTATGAACTTTAATTGCATGATAGGAATCTTAATACTCAGGAATGAGTCGACTCTTACTTGTTGCTTTTAACTTATTCATGTGGATTAATAAACAATTTAAACTGTTGTATAGGTTGTTATACTAAAGGCAAAATGATACTGAGCATTGCACGAGGGAAATATTTGTTATTTAGAAGATTAATAGTGTTTTACTGAATATAATAAGAAATGACATTAAAACTCTTTACTAAAGTGTTAATAAAAACAAGAATATTAAAATGATAAAATTTAGTTTTATAATTATATATATATTGCCCTATTATCACTTTGTTTCATTGTTTCATTTTTTTAAAAGAAAATTTTTAGCAAACAAAATTTCTAGGACAAAAAACCCCAATTTTTCGGGGGTTTTAGGGCAAGTGGGGGGGAGTTTTTTCTACCTAAACCAACAAAAAATTTTAAACGGTATGAGCTTAGATGCTTTTTTAAAAATTTTCAACGGGGATATTTTTTCTAAATTTGACAACCACCAAAAGGGGTATATCCACGGGCCCATAAAAAAACTGGGCAAAATCCTGAACAATTTGTAATTTAGAAAGTGTGAAATTATAAAAAAAAATATAGGGTCGTCGGGTTTAAAACCTAAAAAAAATAAAGGGAAAATCAAAAAAAACTCCCAAATTTTAAAATTTAAGGGGCCCTTGAAAAAAACAATATGTTTTTCCCCTTATTTTCCCCGTTTTAAATTTTTTTTTATTTTAGATTGAAAAGGTTTTTGTTTGTTTAACCATACTGCTTATGCCTTTCAGTTATACTTGAAGCTTTTCTGGCTTATCTCAAGTATTGTAAATAAGGTGGTGGGATAGAAATAGAATTATTGAAATATATCAAAACTATTGAGATCTTCAAGATAGGGAAATCATTAAAAAAGTAATGAAATTTTGAAAATTTTGAAAAATGCATAATGTGTTTTAAATAAACACTCATTATGCATGTTACGCTCATCCCCGTTACCACCAAAATACGGACACGTTTTGAACATGTGACACAATTTATGTACATTACTAAACCAGCTTAAACTGTTGGGTTCATGCTACTGTTTTTTTTAATATCAAAAAGGTTTTTCATGTAAAAATAATGATTTTGACGGTGTGCTCTTAAAACATAAATTGAAAACTCATATCTTGAAAAAATATGATTTCGGATATTTTGGTATTTCAATATAAGTATCAAATAGAATTATAAGGAAACTGTCTGTCAACAAAGGCAAAACACACGTGTGTAATAATTTGTCGTTTTATTTTTTCCAGATACATAGAAAACAACCAACTGTCCCAGATTCCAGACGGGTCTATGACTGGACACACCAACTTGCAACAACTGTATTTGACCAACAACCAAATAAACTATATTCAGTCCGGCTTATTCACTGACCTCACTGCTTTAACTCATCTGTAAGTATATGCTTGTTACTTAATTGTTAACATTTACCATTTTTTTAGTTTAATTATAAATTGAATCATTGTTGTTCAAATTTACATTTGTTAATTGTTAATTCAATGCTTTTTATTTTGAAATAAAGGCTTTATCTTGAAAACGTAAACAAAGGCAAGATATGTACGTTGCTACCATGTTTGTTAGATCCTTTGCTTTTTTGTTGGTATGAGCATAGAGTTTTATATCAATTTTAAAGAAAAACAACATCTTATTGTCGGTTTTGTGCCAAACCATAGGTTTAAATTCCAAATATGCAATTCCTGTTGTAAAGAAAAAATATTTATTATTGTTACAATTTGTGAAAAAAATATCTTGTATAGATAGCCTTTGACGTTTAAGTAATAACTATTCAGCCCATGCTTTCTTTTTCAGCGGCCTTGCAAGTAATGTGATAGACAGTGTCGATACAAATATTTTCAACACTTTGGGGTCACTAGAATACATCTACATGCAAAATAATCAACTGAACCATTTCCCGGCTCTAGGAACACAAGCTATGAAGGTTATAGATCTCAGCTCTAACGAACTAGAAACTGTAGCCACTGACGCTTTCACAAATCTGGCATCGTTGTCATCACTGTAAGCATTATAAAACAATAGATTTTACATTATTGACATGCCTACAGTAAAGTTAAAAACCATCACCATTCAAGTTTTCTGTAAAGTTTGCATCATGGTTATGACACATTTACATGGCATTTGTTTCAATATGGATTTGTTTATAGATATGGAGTAAATTACATATGAGAAATTAACATTGAGGTATTTGATGGTTTTACAAGTTCATATTATAGGACCCGCCAAAAAAACAACACATATAGTAGAAACTATGATTTAGAAAAAGGAAAGTCATTAACCGTAATAAAATAATTTAGTTAAATACTCATGTAAATTGTTGTGAAATGTATATGTCGAATGTTGAGTAATTTAAAAAAGAAATAATGATAATAATTTGTTCATATAAAGGAGCATTCTGTAAAGTTAAACCTTTTTTTCTTGTACATTGTTCTAATGTTCTGATTCCGTATCGGTCTATACAGCTAATTTTGTCGTTATGTTTTGCATATAGAATTCTCACCGACAACCCACTGGCGTGTCAATGCCAGCTAGTATCTGCCCTACATGACGTGGCCGGGAGTATTACAGGAGGTAGCTGCGAATATACCGCAGCCGCCAATGGGTTGACGTTTGATAAAAGCATGGTCAAAGATCCTACATACTACTTTAGCAGTGCAAATAACAATGCCTCAGTCTTCCAATGTTGTAAGTAAATCTTTGATGAAGTGTTTTCTTTTTTGCTTTTCTGAATAAAGGTTGTTTGAACAAGGTTTGTTCGTTATTTACCTTTTCTAATGATCGACGCTGTAATGACTTGTGAGAAATTTCACAATTACCTAAAAATGCTTGTGACTGCAAAAGAAAATTTACAAAGGTTCCAAATTGAATACATTATATTCATGGATTTATGCTCTGATTTTTATAGATTTTATATAAAAGTAAATATAAAAAAACGAAATCAAAGAATCAATTTCTTATATCTTTAGATATAATAGTAAAATCTTATTGAATTTGTTAAAAGATTCTATTTTAACGATTCAGGTACGTTGTTAAGTAGGTAGGTAAATAACAAAAATAAGATAAGTATATAACTGAATTTTAAAGTGATTAGTATACATTCACAAGATGAGAACACTTAAAAGACAGGCTTCACTTAAATTAATCAAATTGAAGTTTAGCTGAAGATTTAAAAAATGTAATATATATATGAATTTACCCAAATAGCCACTGAGAGGTTAATACTACGTAAGTTTTTTTTTTTTTTTTTTTTTTTTTTTTTTTCCAACTTTTTCATTTGGTGTTAACTATAGTGACAGTCTTGTTACTAAATATCATTTTGAACAATATATATGCTTAGAAATTAAGACTTTGATCGGAGGACTGTTGCTAATGATGTCAAAACTTTGTAGCCCAACCCATTTGCACTATATTGCATGAACATTTGTTTTGTATTATTCATGTAATATGTCTTATATAAGTGCAATAAAGTTTCAGTAAACTAGTGGCTTTTTCATGGGTAATAAGGAAAGATATATATTTTTACCGGCACAAATGGAAATTTTCAAAGACCTATGAGACAGTCTTGTTATAACCAGCTCATTAACCGCTACACTACAATAAATAGATCTTTACTTTAGTCCGAATGAGGATAACATGCATTTAGCAGATACGTTTATGATAAAATGGAGTCATGATAGATTAAAATATGGGCGAATAATATACCTAAATGACTTAAACACCGGTCAATGCCAAAATAGAATTAACTAACTTTCATTTCCTTTTTAATAGGTATTAGTAAATCCTCTTAATTCTGCAATTTTAATATATATATGGTATGTGAATTTTGTATTGTCTGACACAAGTGGATATGTTTGCATGTGCGTTTGCCGTTCATGATGTGTTTATGTTTGCATGTAAATGTTTGTGCGTACTTTTTACTGTTAGCTAGCAACGCTTATCTATCATTCGATATGCATGTAAATGTTCATTTTAACGACTGAATGTCTTGCAAATAAAATACAGTTGAACAATTATTATGACAAAATTGAATCAAGCGTATGGCGTGACAAAAGTTGCATTATTCTAGGTCAAAAGATTTGTTGACATAATTATTTTAAAGAGTATACAATTATATCAAAGTGTATATTAGTTTATTTTATTGGACAAATATATTTTTATGTCAACAAATTCTTTTGACATAGAATAACGCAACGTTTGTCATATCATACAAGCGATATAAAAATTAGTTATTTTACTGAACGATAGCAAAAGTTATATCACAATAAATTATGACAATATCTATGTGATCACTAGGAAAATCATAATGTACCGAAAAATAATTATATTGCACAAATGATTGTGTAGAAAAGACGCTCACCTTGGTGTACAAAATTGACTACATAACTTAATTTACCTAATGAGTTGTATAAAAAAACAACACCAGATGCCGAAATTTGTTAGATAAGTGTAATGAATGTCGGAAATGCGACAGTCGCAGTTGAAAAAACAAAAGATTGAATGATATTCATTTAGCACCTTTCTAAATACCTTTAAACATTCAAATGTTATATGTAAAGAGCGTAGTAACGTATCTGCTTTTATTAAATTAGCTGCCGATAATGTAGTTGCCACTGCTAACTCTGGTACCGAGATAGAAGTGGCATGGGATCAACCGCCTTATGTGTATTTTCAACCCAACGGAACAATAGGATCTTCACCAGCACTTTCTGGAGCAGTGTATGTCGAAGTTTTAATATTTTTCTGTCAAACAAAAAGTATTGTTAATAACGTAAATGTTAATCAATGTCAATGTTGCTACAGGAATTTGTAAAATAATGTCATCTATAGTTTTAAACCCTTGATTTCTATTTCGCTGTTTGGAGCGTTCTTAAGGGGTTCTGTCTTTTTCTGCTTATTATTAATTAATTTTCTCTGTAATATTTTATAATCAGTTTTACAGATACGTACACATGTTTTGTTATATTTGTTTGAGTTTTCATTTTTGGCAATGTTTTACGTTTATTTATGTGATAAGAGGCTATCGCAATTTGCATTTTTTTCAGAGAGTACCAAGTCACGTGTGTAAGTAATACCGCCTCTACATTATACGATACAGAGAGTGATGGTGACGCTACCGCTGGGTCTGGTTCCTTCAGTCTGACATTTAATACCGGGGTGGTTCCTGGCACGACCTACGAATGTTCAATAAAGATGGATCAATCTTCTTATACAAGCGCAAAGAGTATGCCCGCAGTTGTAATTACCCCAGATGCCGTAGGTACGGAACTTTTATTTTCATACTTAAGAAAAATATAGATACTATAGTAATACTTTTGTTTTGGAACAACTTGTAGGTACAACATTTAAGTAAATTGCATGTGCTACGTTTTGGTATAACATTTTAGCAAAGTTATGTACAACCTTTTTAACATGATACGAATTATTGATTTAACATTTTAGCAAAGTGTAGGTACAAAATTTACATAAAAACTTAGAAAAATGAAGGTATGGAACTTTTGTTTGTATAATATTACCTTTATTGTTATAACATCATAGCAAAAGGTATTAACAATTTTACAAAATGTTTGTACGTAATTTTGGTCTTTGAAAAAAAAAGTTTTTAATTATGATGTTCATAGTTCGTAGTTTACACAACAAAGAACAACAACAACAAAAACAAACAAACAAAAACAAACCCACCATAAATCTATTATTTTAGTGAAATAGAAAAGAAAAGTTAATGCATCAAGTGTTTGTATATTTGTCTTTCTATGTAAATATGTGTGTGTGTTATTTCTTTGCTAGCATAGTATAAGCAAGACTTCAATTTTAGTAATATTTTCCATCTATATTCCAGTGCCTGGACCTGGAGCCGGTGCAAATGACGTCGAGCTTGACGTCAAATATTACGACTTTGAAAAATCTCACACGGACTTCAACGACTTGGCTTATCCAACAATAAGCTCGCCAACATACGTTGCTAGCCCGTACGGTGCTTGGTTGTCAATATCGAACAACCCAGCTGGTGACACGTTTTCCACATGGTACCGTGACGATCACCCGGTCAACCGTGAGATTTCAGACACAATTATACTAGTTGCGCAAACCGGGACCATTAAAAAGTAAGTTTATATACATGTACGTTTACAAAAACATTATCAACGAAGAGGAAATGAATTTGTCGAACAGCTATATATGTTCTGAATTGTTATCTTTTATTAAATATTATATTTCTAAAGATTTTACTTCTATCTTTTCGGATTTAACTCAATACAGGATTGGAGCAGTACCTCTAGACGCTTGCAGAAATCATGATCACAAAATAGACAAATATCGTTTTTTTTTCGCCGATTTTTACATTTTTTATTCATTATCATACATAAATCGGTGTGAAAAGATGAATTAGACCTATCAAAGTTCATTCCGTTGGGTAAAAATGCAAGATTTTAGCACTTTATGATTCAAGCGGCTTGCCCGGTATATACCGGAATACGGCATTTAGTGTGGTGCTTCAATCCTTTTTTTAGTCTCACTCTATTTTTTCAAGGTTTTGGAGTGATGCATTTTTCCCGGTCGATGGCCAAGGTTTCGCCGCTGAACAACAACGGGATTGCAACGGGACATATCATAACTTTGGGTAATTGATTATATATATTGAGTAAATAATTTTGCCAATTGATGAACAAATTATGACGTTTTAATATTGATTCTAAAATGTGAAAGTCCATTACTTTTATAATGTAACACTTTAGTCTTGACGAATTAAAGTATATGATGTTTATTTCACAAAATATATTAACTAGACGTAGTAAAGTTGTCAAAAACAATGTTTTGCTCTTTCATTTTATCCCAACCTTTTACAAATATCGGAACTAATGTTCAAAAGCATTTGAATAATCCATATTTATTAGATTTCGTGCGTCTAAAATATGGTGAATATAGAGCAAGATTTAAGAAACAATCAGTTTGACTAGATAACAAAGTTTAAATATGAAAGGAAATAATAAATAAAAGGAAATTTGGTTTAAGCAAATGAGTTATTTTATATTTTTTTCAGATTTACAACTGCTGTCCGAACAGGTATAAAATTTGCTGGTACAGAGAAAATCACACTTGGAGGTGGAGAGGCACTGTGGTTATATATCAACGGTATAAAATTGATTGATTATGTGTCGACCGGAGCGTCAATCAAGGAATGCTTCTACGTTGATCTATCGCCGGCGCTCACCGTCGGCGGGGGAGTAATTGTACCACAACAGGGCTCTATTTCCGGAGGTTCTTGCACTGGTCTTTCGGCAATGTCCACTAGTGCAACCATGGAACTAGAGGTAAGACCAGGACTGGTCTATACTTTGAAGTTTTGCATCATAAAAACGCACTGTTTAGATAAGTTGACAAAATATTGCAAAACACTTTATTAATATTCGAAAAATAAAAAAAGGCTGATTCATATCTTAATGTCATGTGTCACTTAAAATTGACTTTTAGATAAGTCGGCATAGGCTTGAAAACATTTTAATCAATGTATATAAAGGAAAGTAAAGAATCTAGATTGGTTAGTTTGACATAGGCGTGTATACATACAAAGTGCAACTTGAAGCTGCAAACGGCAGGTATATGACAAATAGTCAAGATGTTTTGTGTCAGTTCACAGTAGTATCATTAATAATAATTATTTAGACTTGTGTTAAGATGTTTAATTCCCTATTGAAGTTGGAATTGTTATATCCCTTTAAACAACATAACTTTATATTTACGATGTAAAAGTTTATTAAATATTTTCAGCTAAATGAGATATACCACTTTGACTTGTTTCTGGCTGAAACTCGTAAATGTACATCGGAACTTCTATTTCAAGTTGAAGATACTACATTTAGTCTAGACCCTTCAACCGAACTTCCCATAGATTATAGGTAAGTTAAGAACCAACTAGTAAGTCAACTTGATTGAATGTAAAATGTTCAAACAAATACATTTAGTCCAAAACGTCCCGTCGATTACAGGTCACAAAATACAGATACACATTAAAAAAGGTGTATGTATTTGCACGAATTATCACATTCTTTTTTCGGTCTTATAATTTACAACACACAAAAAAGTTATTTTTGTTTGTTTGATCAAGGTCATACGGTGACATCTCAGCTTTACTGGTTGAGGAGTCCTTTCTTGCATTATTTCTGGTAAAAGCAGACCCCTGAGTAGAATCACCGACATTCCGTAAACTAGCTGAAGGGAATCGAACCTATTGCATGAGGAGAAAGTTATTTGAAGTCAACAACCTTAACCACTTAGCAATTGTTAAGCGTAAATTTTTCTCAAATTACATTTGAGAGGAGCAGGTCAGCATCTGTCTGCCTCACACAAAGGGAGAACAAATAACAATTTGAATATTTCACAATTTTGTAACTTCTCAAAATTGCATTTAACCATCGTCAATGACAATGGATATTTTTCTTCTTTTTTTCAGCGTGACAATATCCGAAGATTTCTATGTAGATGATATCTTGACTACAATATATCTGACGGACGTGTTTTCTGTTGGACCCTATGACATAACATTATATGCAGGTAAATAGTAGCTTGTCAGTCGCTCGGCTCTTGATTTACAATTACTAGTAATAAAGATGCAATTTTAAATGATGTTGGCAAACTTGAGACTTTTAATAATTTTTCTTGTTTCTTAAAGCAATATTACTTAGATTAGCCTAATTCACTTAACTTACTTATGTTTGATATGTGTTAAGGTGCCAGGCTTTTAATATAACACATTCTTAAAAAATACTCACATGTTATTGGCAATATTTCAGGAAATGAAAACAGGTTGTTTGAATTTAAAGAAGATATTGTTGCAAATCAGTTTACTACACCAGCCCCCGTTGCTCCAAATTATACAACCATGGTGGATATTGATGGAAATACAGTGAACTTTGTTGGTGAGTGTAATCACTCATTTAGCTGTTTATTTATTTTATTTTTTATCTTTTAATGAAAATATACATTAGAATCATTATCAATCAAAACAAAGGGATCGTTACAGTTCAAGATAATTCTTATGAACGATGTCATGCATTGAATATTGGTTATCTGATTATTATTTAGAATAAAACGAACGGAATAAACTTGTTTCATTTTTTAAAGTTTGAATGTAAGTTATTGTGTTGCTATATATTGTTCAGACGAATAGGTTTTTGTTTTAAATATGTCATATGTTTGCAAATAAAATTATAACTTTTGTAAACTTTATTTCTAAATATGATTTCTTGAAGAAAATATGTCACTGGAAAACATTATATGTGGTTGTTTTTGGAATTTATGTATTTTTGTAAAAATACCTTATATTCACTTTCTATTCTTAGTGATGAACTTATCTACTAGTTCCATAATTTTACTGCAATGGTAATCACTATGAATTTTTTTTTGCGATATTTTGTACAATGCATTAGGATTACATTCAATACTAAAAGTGACACGTTCAATAAAGTACGCTCGTATTACAAAGGTATACAAACATTATAATAATGCGTCTTTCTTTCTCGAGCATCACAACGTTGATAAATATGTCAGAGGATGTTTTGTACGTTTCATATTATTTGATTTCTTAATACAGAATGCACAAGTGTATTCACCCCAACTTGGACAACCAACGCTGCCAGTGAAACATTTAGCATCTCTACTTCAACTGCTCTATTCACTTTGAAAGATGTCCTGGATTATGAAACAACTAAAGCTTATTATTTCCTCCTGACCGTTGATGATACTGGAAAGTCCCTGACAGGCTCTATTGCAATCAGAGTAAGTTAATTCGTTATTTTACTGAAAAGTTGAGAGTGACGATATAATATTACATCTCAACGCAGAAATAAAATAGTCTTAAATAAAAAATATGTGTTTTCTTATTTGTTTGATTGGATGTTACGTCGCACCAACATTGTATAGGTCATATGGTGACTTTCCATCTTTACTGGTGAAAGAAGACCTTAGGTGTGCCTCTGTATATTATTTCAGACACAAACGGGCACCTGAGTAGAACCACCGGCGTTCTGTATGCTAGATGGGTAGTTTTCTCAAATGTAGAATCCGACGGCGTTTGTTTTCTTATATCTAAATTGATGAAAATATTTACATGACATTTTAAAACATGTTAAAATAGACAGAAATGTTCGCATGTCAGCAGTGTGTTGTCATAATCTGAGTTGAACTAATTCATATGACTAAAATATTTTATAATTGGTACATTGTGTGTATATAAATTCAACATAATCTAACACTAGCATCTTCAGTTAAAAAGGTGAGTCGGTTATGAATAACATGTTGAATTTCTAACTTAATTCAGGTAAAGATAGAAGACGTTAATGACAACTGTCCAATTTTAACACCAACGAGTGCCTCAATGACCCCTCTACCAGTACTAGTAGATGCCCCACTCATGTCTTTTGCATCAAGTGATACAGACAGTGGCGATAACAGTGACATTAGATACATCGTTTCAGCAGTGACACCAGAGTAAGTTATTGCTGTGCTAAAGGGAGGTCGGGTGGCTTACACTTAACACTACTGTCCATGAACATGCTCAATCAAACCGAGCCTGCAGTATATAAATTTAGCCGTTTTGTATGTTCTTTAAGGATTCCGCTCTCTCTATGTATATGATAATTATAGATCTGGCCTTTTTACGGTGACATACATTTGTATATAATAATAAGATGTCAAGTTTTCTAAAACATAACACAATACCAATATTTTAAAGAAATCCTCTGATGATTAGATAAAAAAAATATTGTGGTTCCTGAGTTAAAAGCGTTCAAAATATAGGTCAGTTTGCAAATGTAAATGTATTTGGTGGGGGTTTTTTGTTGATTTTTTTTATGTTATTACTTCAGACCTACATCAAAGCGTACACAAATCTCAATAAATATTCCCTGTCCTGTCATATCAAAAAGTCTCAGTTGAGTCCCTTTAATGTTGCCAATATTAGTCTTACATTCTTCAAGAACAAGCCACTTAAAATTGCTTGTTACAACAAGCATTCTTTGTAAAAAATGCCAGAATGTGTTCTACAGATTAAATGGTTTAGATTCAGGCATCTTTTCTGATTTTAATTTAATTCATTTAACACATATTTGTCAAGTTCTTAATTAACAATATGATTGTAAATCCTCTGTAAATATGTTGTTTAATTAAAATAGTGTAGGCTGTATTTTACTCAAAGGGTTTTAAATATCATTAAACTGTGTTTTGGACTTTAAATGCTGTTTATTTGTTTCCATAAAATGCAATATCTTAAGGATTAGAATTAATGTTAACTAATTTCATGAAAACTACGTCATATACTAATTTGTGCTTTCTTCCTCTTAAACATTAGTGTCAGGCTTTAAAGAGATTTATCACTGCAAAAACATTAGTTGCTGTTAATAGTAACAATAAGTATTGATTGACAATGCACTTTTTTCCGTGTGTTTTTGGTGTCTCTAAAGAAAATTAACCTTTTAAAAGTGATCGCTAATGTCGTGGTTTTTGACGCAATATGTTTAAGATTTGATAGCCAAACTTCTCTATTTCTTTTTTTTTACATATTTGAAATGTACTAGATGTATGTCATGTATGACATCATTTTTATTCATCGTGTCTAAATTTCTTCCATATGTCATTGAATTACCTGCACATATGTTTTCTGATTGGTGGATTTGGTTTAAAACATGTTTCCATGTTTTCAATACAAAATTACATTACAATGCATTACAATCGGAATGATCGGTTATTATGACCGACGAAAAGGCCCGAGAAGTTGCAATTGCCAATTCTCATTCCATAAAGGGCGTCGCACGGAGACCAATCAGTATGAATATAGAAAGCTTTCTACATTACATACATTTTGATTATTGGTCCTGGAATTGCTTTGCTGGTCCTTATACGTTTACTTACAAAATGTTGTTTTTTTTATTTTGATTAATGTTGATTCTTATCTTTTAAGTCCTCCTGTTGATTATAATGACACAATGGAGTTATGGGATGACGTTTATCTGAACTACACAACGTTACAATTTGAGGTCATAGCGATCGATAACGGAACCGTGCCACGTGGTGATAGAGCGTCCGTTAATGTTACCGTCAGCAATACGTGTGTTATGGATGTGCTGTTTGGGGATATAACCTACATATTTGCTGTTAACAAGACTACCGGAGGCTTGACACTTCGCATACCGAAATATTACGTTGTAGAATTTTGTGAGTAATTATCTTACCTTTCTGATTGTTTATGTTTAATTTACATAGCTAGAAATATCACAATGAAATGTCACTGTTCAAATGACAATATTGCCCAATATTGGCCAAAGAATTGCGGTCATGTAACGGTGAGCGATGAGGGATGTATTTAAGCAGATAATGTCTGACTCTGACGTAAGCATAGGTGTATAGTGACACTGTGCAACATATATTAATACAGACAAATATTATATTGTAAATATATGCTCATTTGCAATCAGTATAAATTTAGTTTACCATTTTATTTGGCTAAACAATGATGACATTAAATAAAAATTCAATTAAAATATCTAAAACCAGTTATCTTTACACTAACACTAAAGTTTGTTTCAATAATGTAATAACCGTAGTAAACCTCTTGTCAAAATATGCATACCATTGATAAATTTCAAGCATAACTTTGATACTGTTTGTATTCCAGTGTGCAGTGACAATATTGGATTATCTACTGGGATTGTATTAGACAACATGATGTTTGCATCCTCGTCTTATAATAATATGTTAACTGGACCTGGTAGAGCAAGAGTTAATGATACTGCAAGTAAGTATTACTGATTTTATAGTAACGAACACTACTCTTTTTGTACCGAGTTTGTATTTTATTTTTAAACTTTGCTTACTTGAAGGGTATAAAGAAAAACTTTACTGATGATATACATCAATTATTTGTCACACATTTTCTAAGTTGTTCTATTACATACCTGATTGCACTACAGTTACATAGCTGATTGCAGTACATATGTATCATTGCATATGTACTAGAATGTCTTCACTTCAGTGTTGTTATATTTTTTATATTTATCTTCTTTATCCCTCATGAACAGACTCAATCAAACCGAGTTTGCAATGTTCACGTAATTTTGTTGTAATTAATGCTTCCGAGGGATAACAATTTTTCCAGAGCTTTATTTATTGATGTTTCAATTTTGTCACCCTTGATAACAAACAGATACGTACAGTGGATTGTCTGGTGGTTGGGTAGCAGGTGTGCTCGATACTAATCAGTATATAGAGGTAGATATGAGCCTGGCTTACAAGTTCACGAAAGTTCATATTCAAGGTCGGGAGGACGCTGATGAATGGGTGACGTCATTCAAGATATTCTCTTATAACGAGGACACGGCGACATGGGACGAATATACGCATTCCAATGGCCAAAATGTAAACTATTTTGTATTTGTAACCTGTATGAGCTCTTATAATCAAATGAATATTCTTTTATCTATGATATTAATGGTATTTTGGATGCCCTTGGTGTACATTTCTGTGAAATGTACTTACGTGTATATACTGATACTCTTTTGAATTTTATGAAATTGTAGCAAAAGGTAAATCAAAATTATACATTTTAGCTCAAAACATCCAATATTCTAAATGATTTATCTGGTAATTTTATCAAGTATTATCTAAGGTTTGTGACCTTTTAGTTTGATCATTATGGTAATTTTAGACGTATCTCTGGTTTATAGATTTTTGTCGGTGTAGCAGATCGAGATACCATAACACAAGTTAGTTTGGACCCTGCAGTACTTAGTTCAAAGATTAGAATAAATCCACAGACATGGAGTGGAGGAAATATTTCACTGAGACTGGAACTATCCGGATGTGAACAAGCAGAACAACTCTATTGTAAGCTAATTGCTATATTGTCATATTGCTTTGTCTTCATTTATTGTTTAAAATTTTTTAAACTATTTCATAATAGGTTCTTCCCTCAACTTATTAAAAAATGTCAGTGTCAAATTACATTAGATTATTTTAAACTGACATTTTGGCTCTCTCAGATTAATTAAATCGTTTAAGCAAATATTTTTTCCGGAATACGTTTGGCCCTACACTGAAAACAATAACAACAAAACAACAAGATGAAATATACCTCTTTGTAGTTCAATTTAAACGTGTACATTGATAACGTGAATAATTATAAAGCCTATGATTTAAATACAAAATACGATTTCAATATAAATGTGATGACAAATATGTTAGCAAAGTCATTTAAAGTTATTAAACGTATTTAAGTACAGATATTTGAGAGATATCTTAACTAACTTCACGTTATCTAAAAGTAATGTTATACAATTGTCAAACTTTTTATATGATTATGTAACTTAGATGATGTTAGTTGTGTTCGATGTGAGACGACTAACTACTGTGAAGGGGAAGGAATTCAGAAACCGTGTGGGAGGTGTGATCCGTATGACCCTACGTCTACTTGTGGCCGCAACCCAGTGGAGCATTCCTTCGGACATGCGTCGGAGTGCACTACTTGTCCCGTCGGTTGGGTAGGTTAAAAATGCAATTGAACTAAAATAAAATAAAAAACATTTGAAATTCGCTATAGATTCTTTTTAATTGATGATTTTACTTTTTGTATGTTATGAAGCGCAATAAGAGAATTTTCATTTTCATTTTAGTTGATAGACATATATAATTGGTTTTAAAATAATTATGTTTGAAAACATTTAAAAAATAAAACAATAAATATATAATTGGAATTATATTGTTTTATTTCTGTTTTATTGTATCATCATGATAGATTTGCAAAGATGACGGGTACGCAACCATTTGTCCTGAGTTCCAGTACGCTGTATGCAATTCTACCTGGTGCCCGGACAGCTGCACGCAATGTGAGGCCGGATACGCCTGTCTTGATGGGCGGAGAACTGAGTGCCGACCTGGGTATTTCTCAGACGGATTCGTCGGTATGCAAGACATTTTAGATAAATATTTTATGAGAATAAACAATAAATAACTTGTTTTGAGTTATGATTTTATATGATGTTTTGAATTTAAAGATGTTTTTTTAATCGTGTCAACCTACAATATATTTGAATAATCTAATTATTCTATTTTGTACTAGCTATACAACTTACCATTCACATCTTCAAATTTTATCTTTTATCTTAAGCATTATTTTAGTTGTTTTATTTTCGTTTCTTTATTTGTGTAAAGAACACTGTTCTGCCTGTGTTTCTGGGACATATCAAAACGAATCCGCATCAAGTTCCTGCAATCCATGTCCTGCTGGATATTATAGTGGTACAGGACAATCAGCTTGCGAAATATGTGAACCTGAAGAGTATGCCCTTAACGACGGAACCGGATGTATAGCGTGCGCAAACGCAGTCGAGTGTCCATGCATGACTTGGGACAAGTGTTTTAATGGTACAGGATGTTACAATACTGGAGGTGGAACATATCAATGTGTACCATGTCCTGACGGATATGAGGCTAACGGTTCTACTTGTTCTGATATTGACGAGGTACCATTGTTACATATTGTAACATACATAACTTTCTGAATTTAACAGGAATTTTACTTGTAAAGTAAATAGCATTCCATCATTATTACTACACATTCTGAAATATTTTATAGGTTTAAGCCAATCATCTAGCATGCATTTTAGCTTATTAATAATTGTTTTCAAATGGCTGCAAATGCATTGGACATTATATTTTTGCAGCTTTCACAATCGAAGTTTTACCAAAGTAATTGCTGACCGACTGTTTCCTTATTTGGCATGTCTCTCATTTACAGTGTGCTGATCACAATCCGTGCTTTAACTCTAGATGCATCAACACGCAGCCAGGTTTTCAGTGTTTAGAGTGCCCGGAAGGTTACTCGGGTACCTTTGAGGATGCCTATAGTTGGGGTGTACAACAGAGGGTGTTTGTGTGGCAGAATGTAATGCACGATAATACTTCATACCAGACCTGTAACGACATTGACGAGTGCGCTATTAATAATGGAGGATGTGACCCGAGACAGCCTTGTATTAACACAGTGGTAAATACATGTATAACCTTATACAAAACAGTATTCTGACCAGAGATGCTTATACTTTTCGTAGCAGAGCATATTATCATTTATATTTCTGAAATTCATTTAAAACTCAATACACATTACAGTCAAATCAGATTTAAACACAGACGAAAAAGGTACTGAAATTTTACAGCTTACAAAATTCTCCTCATATCTTGCTTTTATATTCACAGGGTAGTTACTACTGCGATTTTTGTGAGACTGGTTATATTGGTACGAACAAAAGTGGTTGTTACCTTGATAACTTCTGTATATCTGGTGCACATGATTGTAACAATGTATGGGCAGACTGTATCTATCTTGGACCTGCAGAATACAGATGTGTGGTGAGTTGGTTATTTTCGTTCAATGTTACCTTTAAATTGCTAAAGTTCAAATGGACATGTTCAACTTTTTTGATTTCTTCATTTACATTGAACATGAACATTTAAAGTTAGTCAGCCAACAGTTAAGTGTTTTGTCGGACTGCACATCCATGCATACTTGTCTATGTCTCAATGCCGGTGGCAAAAGCTAGTTACTTTTGGCCCAAGTAAGAGAAAATATTATAATATTGACTCTATATAAAGACTTCATATAGCTATTATATAATTCTTGTTGCAAAGGGTAGTAACTTTTGGCCCAAATTAGAGAAAATATTATAATATTGACTCTATATTAAGACTTCATATAGCTATTATATAATTCTTGTTGCAAAGGGTAGTAACTTTGTTATTTATTGTTTAGCATGATATGTTGCTATATTTTAGTGTAAACCCGGATATGCTGGTAACGGAGAAAGATGTGGTTTAGACTCGGATAATGATGGTCATCCAGACAGAGGAGTTTCATGTGTAGACTGGGGATGTTTCAGGGTATGGTTTTAACTTATGATTCTAATTTGATTGGGATTAAAGAGCTTTTTTCTTTGATGATTAAATATTTAAATCGTACCAACAGAAATGTATATAGTTCGGGTTACTTTATAATAGAGAACTGTTGGCAAATGTATGTCATATAATTTCAAAATCTATTGTTAAACTCGTAGTGTTTGGATGTATCTACATATGGAAAACGGAAAAAAAATATATCAAAGAGCAGTGTGTAGTTTATATAATTAAATTTTAAATGTTTATTTTTCAGGACAATTGTATGTATGTATCTAATAGTAATCAAGAAGACAGTGATGGTGATAACAAAGGTAATAATTGTGATGATGACGACGATAACGATGGCAGATGGGATTATCTGGTTTGTGAATCAATTGAAATTATGAATATTTCTGTTAAATAGAGTTTTTAGAAGTGATATGAAATCCAGAATTGTAATATTAGGCTTAATTTTAAATTTAATGATTTGATACTTTACGATAGATTTATAAATTTTTGAAGATTTAATATTGCATAAATGCTATTTTATATTGAAATCCGCCCTTAGGAATATGACTTTACATCAGTTGACGTTTAGGATATCTTCGTAACAGATAAAGATAATGTATCATTTTCGAAAATTGCAACTTTACACAAATCCCACTTTGTCAGTGATATGAAGAATAAATCTATTGCTTAAAGTGATATTATGCTCATTTTTTTTTCGTTCACAAGTTGAGCTGAATTTAAATGACTATTTAAATAGCTAATATTTGAATATGACAATGGTAAGAAAAAAATTAAACC